CCCCCCCCCCCCCACACACACACACACACACACACTTGTGCCAGCTTGAAGATGTTCTTTTTCCGGTCGATGATCTTCAGCCGCCCGCCCTCGATCCACGTGCCCACATCGCCTGCACAGCCGCGGGGCGCAGCGCAGCGCACCGTAGGTAAGCAATGCCCCCTCGTCGCTGGCTGCCAGCAGCACAGCGTCAGCATGCTGCTTAAAAGCTGGCCATGCCCCAGCAACCCAAAACACACTATGAGGCTCAGGACAGGATCACCCGCACGCCCTTGCCCACACACTTGCTTGCAGGCACCCCCCGCCCCGCCCCAGGCGCCCGCTCACCCGTGTGCAGCCAGCCGTGTGCGTCGACGGCGTCCCGCGTGTTGGCCTCATCCTTATAGTAACCCTGGAACACAATGGGCCCCCGCACGCAGATCTGCGCAGCACGCGGGGCGAGGGCGGCATTGGTCGCGGCGGGGGCAAGTTGTGAGCTGGCGGGGAGGGGACTCGGGCAAGGCAGGGCGCCCCCGATGCCGGCTGCGGCGCCGGCGCCGGCCCTGCAGGGGCGCCCCTGCAGCCTGGCGCGGCTGGGCGGGCTGGCAGGCGCCGCGGCGCACCTCTCCCCGCGGGTGCGGCTGGTCTGCGTTGGTGTACCCCATCTCAGGAATGTCCTCCAGCTTGACCTGCGGGGAGGCAGGCATGGGGAGAGGAGGGAGGAGGTGGCAGGCGGCACGTGGCTAGCTGCAGGAGCGGCGGCTGGTGGAGGGCTGCAGGAGCGCAGGCCGCCCCTCAGCCGGGCTGGCGGCTTGTGCGTGGGGCGTGCCCTTGGGCGCATGGCAGGGCAGCCAGCCGGTGGGGCCTGCCAGCCAGGCGAGCCGCGCCAGTCTTCACACCGGGCCCCAGCCGCAGCGCACCTCGCAGGCGGGGGAGGGCGGTCCCACGTGGCCGGCCCTGGGGTCCCCCGGTGGCGTCATGGAGATGAGGCAGCTGGACTCTGTCATGCCGTACCCCTCGATCACTGCGGGGGGAGGGGCAGGGGAGGCGAGGGAGGGGCCGGGGGGCGGCGTGGGCACACGAGCGACGCGGACGGCCTTGGCCTGCGCTATCCGGCCCATCTGGCCAGATTCATCCCACTCCCAAAGCTGTGAAGTGGCTGCAAGTGGCGGTGCTCCCCTTTGAATCAGCACTAGTGTGCCGCCGGTACTCCTCCCAACCACAACCACCGCCACTTGACTCACTGACTCACCCGTGGCCCCGAAGCAGATGCGCAGGAAGTCAAACACATCCGGGGAGATGGGTGAGGCGCCGCTGGTCAGCAGCCGCACCTCGCCTGCGCGGCCAGGCAGGCAGGCAGGCGGCCCGTCAGCCACGGCTGGCCCGGGCCGGGGGATGCCAAGGGAGGCAACACGACAGCAGAGCACGCCTGCCTGAAATGCACCACCGCCACCACTGCCGCCGCCACCGTCACCCGCGCACAGCCGGCAGCATGCCCCGCGACAGCCACCGCCCTTCCGCGCCACGTCGCCACGCAGCGGGCCGGGCCACCCACCTCCCACCCGCGCCTTGATCTTGGAGAAGACGAGTCGGTCCCAGAAGGGTCCCAGCCGCCCGCCGCTGAGGTCCCCGCGCTGCAGCGCCGCCAGCTTGTACTGATAGGCGGTGTTGAAGAGGGCGCGGGACACTGGGTTGGCGGCCTGGATCTGCGGGGGCAGGGCGGCAGCAGGGGCGGGGCAGGCGGGGCAGGGTGGGGGCCAGGGGGGCACGGCGGCAGCATGGCGGCGGCAGGGGCAGGGCAGGCGGCGTGGGGTGAGGGCCAGACTCGCCCTCCATTCCTCCACATACCACACACTCACACATGCACAGACAGCAGCACCAGCACAACGAGAAGGATGTGCATGCCCACCGCCGACCGCCGCTGCAATGACACACCCACCCACCCACCCACCCCCACACACACCTGCGCCATGACCTTGTCGTAAATGCGGTTCCACAGGCGCGGCACCGAGGAGAAGATGGTGGGGCGCAGTTCCTGGATGTCCTCCAGCAGCTCCAGCACGTTGCCCCTGCGGTACAAGCAGCCTACTACAACCTTGAGGTACAGCGGTACATCCTTGAGGCGCAGGAGCGCAGCGAGCAGCTGGCAAGCGCGACGGCAAGGGGCTGCACGACGGCAGGAAAAGCGTCAGCGGGGACTGTGGCGCAGAGCGGTGGAGCAGAGGAATGGAGCGGGGCACGGGCTTGCCTGTAGAAGCCCGCCGCGGCGCCGTAGTGCGTGACCAGGGTGAAGTTGAAGCGCTCGTAAATGTGGGCCAGGGGCAGGTAGCTGCGGGGGAGGTGCCAGGTCAGCATTTCACAGCACGAGGCGCAACTCTCTCCCTGAAGACACTAGACTGGGCCCTGCCGCTGCTGTGTCAACAGGGGCACACATGTCAACATCCCAGCTGCCAGCTGGCGACGGGAAGAAAGCACGGTACTGCGACCCACCAGATGTGGCGGTCGCCGTGCCGGAAGAGCTCGGTTGGCGCCGCCGTCAGCATGAGCGCCGCGCCAGCTGCGGGCAAGTCGGGCAGGCAGGGAGCACACGCATAAACGCCACACCAGGAGAGGCGTCTGGGCTTGCTGGCAAGAACCACGCGGGCGCGCCGCCCCGGCGGGGCCGAGAGGGAGGCTGAGCGGCGCCGGCGCTGCGCCTGCCCACGCCCCGCGCCGCACCCGCGTTTGCGATGATGCTGCTGTGCGTCAGCACCGCGCCCTTGGGCACCCCCGTGGTGCCGCTGGTGTAGTTGATGAGCGCCACATCAGAAGGCTTGGGCGGGTGGTGCGGCCGCGGGTGCTTGTACCCCAGCGCCCGCACTCGGTCCAGGGTCATGATCTTGCAGTGAGGGGCGGCGGGCACGTCGGGCAGGCGCTGGTGCGGCCGCGTGCCGTACACAATCTGCGGGGGGCGGGGCGGGAGCGCGCAGGCAGGAAAGGTGTCTGGGTGAGTGGGGTGGGGCGGCGCGCCGCTGGACACGCGACCGCGCCCCGACCTCTTCTTGAGCACGCACGCCCGCGGCCGCGCCGGAATCCACCCCCGCGCCGCGCCTCCACGCCCCGCCTTCCCTCTCGTGCAGACGCAGCCCCCGCGCGCGCCGCCCGCGCCGCCTGCGCCGCGCGCGCCGCGCCTCACCAACAGGCGCACGGTGGGGCACTCGTGCAGCACCTCCAGCAGCTTGCCCAGCACCTCCAGCGAGCAGGCCACCGCCGCCAGCTCAGCGTGGTTGCAGATGTACTTAACGGTGTCGGGGCCCAGCGTATCGTACAGCGGTACGCTGACCAGGCTGTACGCGTGGCAGGCGGCGTCCACCAGACACCACTCGGGCGTGTTGACTGCGGGCAGGCAGGAGGGCAGGGTGGGGCAGGGAGGGAGATGGAGCAGGGGTAGCAGGGGAGCGCGCGTGTGCAAGGGGGGCGGGCAGAGGCGCGGGCGCCCCTTCCTGCGCCGTGCTGCGCTGCAAGCCACAGGCGGGTCCGCCCTGCAAGCTGTCGGTGGTTCTGTCCGGCAAGCTGCCGGCCTGCGGGCGTTGCGATGCCCGGCGCTGGAGGGGGACCGCGGGGCGCACCTGAGTAGAGACCCACGCCGCTGCCGGGCTGGATGCCCAAGTGCTGCATGCCGGAGCCAATGGCGCTGCGGACCTCCCCAACCTCCGCATAGCTCTGCCAAACGTACGGCCCCGGCTGGCCCTTGGCGTCGCTGGTGCGGTGGCCCAGGTAGGGGCTCTGCGGCAGGCGGCGGACGCGGTGGGGGCAGGCGGACAGGAGGCGTGAGGAGGGATGGGCCAAGGCTGGGCGGCAAGGGTGGCACCAGGCAGGCATCCGCCCCGCTGCGATGCCCGCAGCTGCCACCAACGTTGTGAGCTGATCGGCGGCAAAGCAGCCGCCAGCGCTGCGGGCAGGTCTCCCCGTGCGGCACCCGCTGCGACGCCTGCCCACTGCCGTCAGGCGTGCCCCGGCGACTCACGTCGCCAAACTCGGCGATGGAGCTCTCTAGGTTGTCATAGAGGGTGAAGATGTCGTCATGAGGCGCAGGGAAGGTGTCCACCAGGCGCTGCGGGCTGAGCGCGTTCCTGAAGGGCGTGAAGTCGAGGGCAGGCAGGGAGGGAACTTCAGAGGGTGCGGCAGCAGGCGGCGAGCGGCGGGCGGCGGCGGTGGGCCGCGCCCAACCCGGCGCAGGCGGCTGCCCGAGACCGGAGTTGAGCTCAAGGAGGCGCCATGGCCTGGGCAGGGGCCCCGCGGCCCGCCGGCTCTGACCAGCCTCCGACAGCAACTCCCGACACCTGCCTGCGCACGACCCACTGGTTGGTAGTGAGCGCCTCGGGCAGCACGACGCTGTACTGGTGCTCGTCAGGCTGCTGGGCCGCCGTGTGCTGCATCATCAGCGTTTTGCTTTCGCTGCTCGGTGGGGCGCCCAGCTGGGCGGCTAGCGCCTGCACACGACGCGCCTGCTGCTCTCCCAGCATGGTGGCGATTGATGGCGGGCCCCGGGGGGCCTGGCCAAGAAGGTGTCCAAAAGCTGAGCTGGCACAGTTTTGTTCCGCTTCGCGCAGGAGCCTCCAGCGATCCCAGCGCCCCCTGGCATGGCTTGTGCTTGCTACCGCCACTCCTCCTGCGCCGCTGGAGCCCGTCAATTGGACCCCCTGTCTCTGTCTTGTCCCTGGGGGCTTGTATTCTTGAACAGCCCGCGCCTGCCCTCCTGCACATCAAAATCACTCCAGCCTCCCATCCGATCCTCCCGCCTCAGCCAGACCACCCCACGCGTGCATCCCCACCATCACTGCACGCTAGCAGCGCCTACAGCACAGCTGCGCCCGTCAGAAGCCGGCGCAATGCCGCTGTTCTCGCTCCCGGAGGTGGAGGAGAACGAGGAGGGGTGGGGGCCCGTCTCTGTGCCCAAGCAGTTCGATGGCGTCCCCTTCATGCCCTTCTCCAAGGGCGAGCGGCTAGGCCGCATCGCAGACTTCTCCGCCCCGCCGGGCAGGGGCATGTACCAGGGTGAGGCTGGAGCTGCACCGCCGCCACCATCACCGCCTCCCACCGCTGCGGCCGACCTCGTGCCCCGCTTGCCTGATTGCCCTGATGCTGCCAGCAACACCAACTCAGCAACCTGGCGCTGCTGTGCTGGCGGATCGCACCTCGGTCTTTTTCTCCGCCGAGGTCGCCGCCGCCTCACACCCCGTTGTGTGCGCTGCGACGCCGCAGGCGGGCGCTACCGCGACCGCGAGCCCACGCCCGGCATGTCTGTGTTCAACTTTGAGAAGACGGGCGAGGTGCGGCTGGGAGGGCGGAGCCAGCTTGTTCTCACGCTGCAACTGCCGCTGCGGAGGCCGTCCGGAGGTCCCATGCACGCTCGCCTTGCCGCTGCCTGCCACTGCTCATCGATCGACCCCCGCTCGCCTGCCTGCCTGCCTGCTCCTCCTCCTCCTCTCCTGCCTCCCCGCAGGACGAGGCCTTCCAGCTGGTGGACAAGCCGGTGGTGAAGAAGCCGATGGGCGGGCCGCCGCGCCGCATGCAGCAGGGCCGCGGCTGGGGCCAGCGCGATGGCGGGCGGGACGAGGGCGGGCGCGGCGGACGCGACGGCGGCCGCGGGGGCTGGGGCCAGCAGCAGAGCGGGCGCGGCGGCGGCTGGGGCCAGCAGGGCGGCTGGGGGCAGCAAGGCGGGCGCGGCGGCCGCGGGGGCTGGCGGCCGCCCTTCTGGCGGGACCAGCCCCGCCAGACCTACACCAGCAGCGTGGACATCCGCCCAGAGTGGCACGTACTGGGCGACGTCATCAACCTGTCAGCCCTCAACAAGCTCTCCAAGCAGGTGCGCGCCCCGCGCCCTGCTCGCCGCTCGCCGCTGCGTATGGGCGGACCGGCGCCCTCTGGGTGCCCGCGCCGTGCAGGCAGCAGCTCCCCTTCCGGGCCAGCGCGTCGCCTGGGCTTCTCCCGCCGCCGCCCTCCACCTTGCCTCCGCCCTCCCTCCACCTGCTCCCTCCCTACCTACCCCACCTTGCCCTCCCCTCACCTCCCTCACCTTGCCTCGCCTCCCTCGCCTCCGACTCCCTCACCTCCCTCGCCTCCCTCTATCTTTGCCCCGCCGCGTGCAGGTGGACGAGCCCGAGCAGCTCACAAGCTGCGGCTCTCTCGCTTTCTACGACAAGTCCGCCGACCGCGTCACGCCCAAGACCCCCGCCAAGCTGCGCAAGACAGGGCACCGCACCCGCTCCTCCACCGCCTCTGAGGACGCCATCATGCGGCGCCTGGTGCAGCAGGTGCGCCCGGGCTGGTCCGCCCCCTTGCTTGCCTGCTGGCAACGGCGGCAGCGTGCGGCTGGCGAGGCAGGTGGTGGGCGTGGGCGGAAAGCAAGCGCCGCCCGCTCCTGCCCGGCCTGCGCGTGGGGGTGGTTCGCTACCCCCCCGCGGCGCCGGGGGGGGAGAGGGGGGGGCTTGCAACCTGCCGCCGCGCCTCACCGGGTCCGTCGGCGGAAGGCAGGCGGGGTTGGTGGCCGGTCAG